CTTCACCTCAAATTAGTAGTGGCTTGACCCTGTACTGTACTGTACATCATACTTTTCCTTTAACAACAGAGTCATGCCGATCATCTGTCTAACTCCTTTCAGGAGAAAATTTTTGAATTAAAATAACATAACTTTCGGTGCAAACTGGAAGTTTATATATAGTTAATCCTGCTTCTAAGCTTTCTATGTATGGTATCGGCATTCATCTATCTAACTAACTCCATTCTCAAGATTAAGGAAAAACAGATAGACAGATAGACGGGCGGATGACAGTGGAAATTTATGAGTCTACAATTTTTTCAAATTGCAGCTCAATTAATTATAGGGAATATTTATTTAATAATTTATCAATTGTATAATTCAGGATCCTTACTTAATAAATAAATAAATACAGTTTAAACTTATGATAATTATACGTGTGCGCGTTTAATTATCTAATATATATGTATATATATTTAATTAACTTTCTTACCATTGTTGCCGGATTCACAGCTCCAAAACTTCTTAAATATAATTCGCATTTAACAACTGTCGGTAATGCTATTAGGAGGGGGGAAGCATTTAAATTATTAATTTCGTATAATAAATATTAATTTTATTATTTGGAATATTTCCAAACATGAAAAGCAATAAATTAATTTTAGAAAGTTTCAATTAAAGTAAAAGAAAGAATTTAGGTTTGTGTTACAGAAACGATCGAAATTACATTAAAACAAGAATAAAGAACAAAAAAAGAAAATAGAGAATTGACGAAAAGATAAATTGAATTTATGTTTCTGACAGGCTTAACGTTAATCGGATTTTGTAGTTGTATCAAACGAACACATTCAACCGCAATAAAATGTCATTCTACAGCTTTAATATAGGACTAGAATACATTAACGAGTCGTTCTAAAAAGCCAGATAATGTAGTTTTTGAAATTCGTTTTAAACATTTTACAACTCAAAATTTGAAAAAAAAATAAACTTTTATATTTACTTCAACGAGGAATTAATTTTTAAATGCACTTGTTTTCCTGTTTGAGATGTCAGAACAGTTAATAAAGAGTGTCATTTTTCCACTACACAATGCTAATTTCTTTTCTTTCTTTCTTTTTTTTTATAAACTGTAAACTGTGATTTTAATATAGATGTAAATTATAATTTTAGAAAAGCATCCATTAGATGTTGATACAGAAAATCAATAGGCGAGTNCTTTATATTTTTAGTTACTTTTAGTGTAAATTTATTAAAAATATATCTTAAAAACTTTCTATAAATTTTCAAATTGATGGCTAATTTAAACAATTTAAAAAACATTTCTTTAGTTAAAGAAAAGTCTTTTAAAATTATGATTTATAATTAGTCATTTAAAATAGTTTTTAAAGCCAAAAACGACAAAATGTTAAACAAATTTTTACATACTGTATGTTTGAAAAGGTAAAGTAAAATAGAAATTATAAATTATTTCCTCTCAAATTTATTAAATTTAAAGCTATGCTAAGGGAAAGAAGAAGAAGAAAAAAATCTTAAAATAATTTATAAATTTTATAAATTAATTTTTTTAATATATTTAATTGTGTGTGTGTGTGTATTTATTGTTTGTTTGCGTTTACATATGCATAATTTAAACAATGTTAGAAGAAACGCTATTAAACTTTTTTACAAATGTAAAAAATACAGTATAATTTAATCTGGCTTATAATTAATAAGCATTATATAATTCAAATACTAAAAATTTTTAAATATTGATAAAAATCTATAATGTAAGTGATTAGAATCAATTCATCTTATTTAAAGTCAATATAGATTTAAAAGAAAATTTAAATATTATAAAATCTTTAAAATATGCAAATAATACATTTAATACAAGAATTTAAAAATTATATTTATTATTTTTCAGTATTTTCAAACTTCATGTAATAAATTTATGAACATGAAATAAATTTATGAAGTGGCGATTAATGAAAGAATTAATATCCTATTTTAAACATATAAGTTTTACAAAATCAATAAATAGTATCTTCTTTAATAGGCCTACAGAATGAATTTATGAATTTATTAATAATTTTTTTTTCTTTTTTATTTAAATTTGAAGAACAAAATATTTTTATTATCGCTTTATCACGTTTCTTTTTTGACCAATTATAAAGCCTGTTAAGTCTGTTTCCAATAAAGAAAACGTGACGTATTAATCTCGATTAAGCACTGTCATATATTCAGCCAACCCTTTGCTATCACGTGTCAATTTCAACTAATCATTAAGTGACTTGAATCATGTTATTTCCAATACAGAAAATGGCATGTGTTAGTTTCGATCGTTCGCTGACTAATCATAAAACGAGTTGAACTGTGTTACTTCCAATAAAATGACAAGGTTCTCACCAATTACTATCACTTTGTCAATTCCGGTCAATCCCTGAACGAGTTAAATAATGTTATTTTCAATAAGGAAAATAATACATATCAGCTCTGACCAATCAATGTCACGTGTCAATTTCAATCATTCTCTATCATGTGTCAATACCGACCAATCACTAGACGAGTTAAATTACACTATTTACAATAAAAAAAAGTCACGTGCCAATTCTAATTAAACATTATCGTGTGTCAATAATAAACAAAAATTTTTAAATAAAAATATTAAAACATTATTATTATTATAAAGAATCAAAACAACTTACTCTGCTTATGATTTGGAGTGATTCTTCTATCATAATCTCTCAACAAATCATCCAATATTAATAAATCATTTGATAATAAAGCACTAAAAAGAGTGTTTGAATAAATAAATATTAAAAAATATCTTTATATAGAAGAAAAACATTGGATTTTAAAGATTGAGTAAATTACATAATTTATAAAGCTTTTTAGAGCGAAGATAATCGTGTTAGATGTTTACTTTCCTGCTGCAGCCATCAAAGATTCTTTATTCAATTCTTTCCTTTGAAGAAAGGATTACTTCCACAAAGTAATCCTATCTTTATTATTTGTTGACTCAATTTATCCATTTAGCCGCATTTAATAAACATTATACTTTAACCTTGGTTTTTGTATAATTTGAAACCACTCTTCTCGAATTTTATTAGCTTCGTTTCTTTCTTTTGATAAAGGTTCCCTGGCAAACAATTATTTTATTTTTGAGTTAGAAAGTAAACATTGTATAA